TCTCTCTCTCTCTCTCTCTCATACACACAGACACACTGATAAATAGGTCCAAAGGTCATCCCCCGGGCTTCGCGCTCAGAGCAGTCTGCTGCTCCATCTCGTCTGGCGGCTGCGCGGCGCGGGGCTTTTCTGCCGCCATAATAGAGCATATAGCCGGCCGTAATTAACTCGTTACAAACAGCAGTGTAAAGTCGAAGCCGCGCGGCGAAAACAAACAAACACTAAGCAAACACGCAAGAGAAAAGGAGCGAGCGCAAATGACCCGAAAAAGCCGTCGACAGCGGCGGCGGCGTCGTTTCCGTTCCGCGCAGCGAATCAAAGTACAATAAGTTTATTGAGCTGCTGCTGCTGCTGCTGCGGTGGCTTATTATCGACGAGAGGCGCAGCGGCAAGGCGGGCCAATCACAATGTGGCCAACAAAACACACCGAATGAATTAAATGATTTGAACCTGACCGACCGGGGAACTCAACGCGCGGCGGCGGCGCGTGCAAGGACGGCGCGGCGGGGCGGGGCGGAGGGGGCCAGCCGGGCCCAGCCGGGCCCAGCCCAGGGCGCGTGGCCCCCCAAGGATGAGAAGCGGCATAAGCAAGACAAGCAAAAATGTGCACGTGCACACGCAATCGCCCCTCTTTTTCTCTCATTCTCATTCTCTCTCTCTCTCTCTCTCTCTCTCTCTAGACAGGCGCGACCGTTTCGAGATTTCGACTCATCATGGCGCGCTGGGCCTTATCGTAAAGAAGCCAACATATCGCCAACCTCATTGGTGCACGTGTGCGTGTGTGTGTGTGTGTGTCACGCACAACGCACAAGACGGTGCGGGCAGCGCGCACACACACACGCACAGACAGAGCTGGGTCAATAGCGACTGCAACAACCGCACAACAGCCAGCCATCTCGGACAGCGAGCCGCGAGGCGGACTCTCTTCGGCCGCTCTCTACTAACGCTCTCGGCTCGGCCACGACGACGCGTCTTATCAGAGGGGGTCGGCCGGCCGGGCATTCCCTCCTCGCCGTCCACCCGCGCAGCAGCAGCGGCAGCAGCAGCAGCAGAAGTCTAGCAAAAACACGACTAGTTTACTCTTAATAATAAGAGAGTTTTTTAAAAAGTATGTAAAATGAAATAAATGTGTCGGATGCACGCGAAATAACGGCGACTCAAGCGTGAAGCCCACGTGGACATGGCTGCGGGGTAGTGCCGCGGCCACAAATAGAGCGCAGTGTGTGTGTGTGTGTGTGTGTGTGTGTGTGTGTGTGTGTGTGTGTGTGTGTGAACTGGCCGCCACGTCGCTGTGCGTCAGTCAGGGTGGCTGCGGTGGCCTCGGGGGCTCTGGCCGGCCGGCTCCGGGGGGAGGCTTATAGAGAGGGGCCGGCTAGCTAACGACTACCGTTGCCGGACCTATGGAGTCGCGCGGAGCCAGACAAATTAGCTGCGGGCCGTGTGCATCCCATGAGTGCAGCCATCTGCTGCATCATCTGCGTTGCCGGATTCAAGCAGCAAACGGCAGTAACAGTTCAGCACAGACTTTGCGATATTTTGTTTTACGTGTACCGTGGGTTCGGTAGCTTTCTATAGGGTTGTTAAATTTTAATGCCTTTGCAAATTAAGGCACGAAAGGCAATAAAATTTAGCAGCTTTGGGCGGTTTTAATGCCTTTGAAAGGGTGCTAATCGTAAATGCCTTTTGTAAAGGAATTAAAATCCGTTCAGTCGTATCTTTTGTTTTTCTAGAGATCTCTTTTTACAAAACTAACAACTTATGGCCCGATGCATGCGGTAACAATATAACTTCGAAAGTGCGCGGCGTGAGTCAGCAACCTGCTGGTACACGATAAGAAACAATTTTGTCAGTAATCGTGCAGCGTAAAAACGTAGACAGTTACTACGAAATAAAAAAGGGCAGGTCTGCGAGTGAACTTACAGTCAAAAGGGTGTAATTCTGAGAGGACGCGGTACATGTAAATCCCACTTATTTCCTTAATTATACGGTTATGGGTGGTTGTCACTATGAATCAGAAAGAGTGCAATTTGAAGCAAGAATTTTTTTGCCACGACCAAATGTTCTTTTAATTTTAATTCAAGAGATTTTTATTGTTCGTAACGACTGGCTCTCCTTTCACACTAACTTGTTATGAACTTTTTTATACGCAGCTTACGCATTTCCCTGTGCATACTCTATTGCATATTATTTTAGGAGCACTTATGAACAAATTTGGTAATATATTTGCAGTTATTGCAATAATAAACAATTTACTGTGTTTAAAAAAAGTATACGTAATAGAGCACGCACACATAAATACGTAAGTGTGTATTGAAAATTTCATAAAAGTTTATGGTGTGTAAGTAAAATTTGACTTTCTTGCTTGTTTCAATCAAAGTTCCCAAAGTCTGTAAAGACATCATTCAGAGAGAGGAATGACGTCGTCCGATTCCGAGAACTCAATCTCCTCCTCTACGGCATGACAGGTGCGGCCTCGCACGCCCGCCCGCCCCCTGTGTGTGTACCGTACACCACGCTACCGTGTTTATTACCATTTCATTATCGCATTGTTATTACTAGTAACCACAGACGTAGACACACGCCGGCGGGGCGGGGCGGGGCGGGGCATTAGGGGCTTATCGCCTGCAGCGCGTATGGTTCTTCGCGCGGCGCTCGCGCGGATCTCGTTGGGTTCCTCCGGGAGCTCCGCGGGCCAGATCACCCCGCGTCTGCCGGATCAAGACTAGGGGCTTGATCCGGGTCGAACATCATTGGCGGGGCGGCAAGCGTTCGAGAAAACGACCTCGGAGGACACAAACTCCCTCCCTCCCT